ACTTCGGGTTTGCGCGAAAAGTTTTCTCTTTTTATGCTCTTTCGAACGAGCTATCACAAAGGGGGTCTTCCTATTTGAAAATTAAAAGTCGGGGGCCGTTGCCTCCCTAAGGAGCCCCCCTTGAAAATTTTAGGGGGGCCAAAAAGTAGCTTCCTTTGACCTAGGAATATTCCCCAAGTTTCAAATCTTTACCTCAATTAGGTAAAAAGTTAGAGGGGGTGGAAGGGACTTTTGGATCACCCTGTATACTTAACCTTTGCCGGATTCCCTACACTCAGGAACGTTGAACAACCAGCAGTCACTGAGTTTGTCTAAAAAGCAGCTCATTTGGCAATTAAAATATTACAGTGTATTAAAGTTGCGCAGCAGTCTCAGTTTGGAGCACACCAAAGGATTTTAACTACTATCTTCAGTTCTAAGCGAAATTACTTCTTCAGTTGATGAAGTTCCCCCAATTTCACTTGACTTCTTGAACGAGACAAAAATCGGTTAGAGCCCTCACTTATAAACTTCGACCTCACACTTTGTAGTAGGTTGAGGTGCAAAACATTAGAAGCCCCTGCAGGGTGCAATAGGCAGAAGGTCCTCAGAATTCATTGATTCTTCCCGATTTCAACCCGGAGTATGTTCTCATCAATGTAGGTATTAGGTATTAGGACAACCTTAGTAAAATAGAGATGGTAACGAAAAATCGGAAACAGCAAATTTATGTAGGTCTTGATATGGGTGTTTCTGTTGGAAGTACTTACGAGATGGAAACTTAGAGATATTGTCAGCAACTTTCATCAAAAGTAGGGCTGCATTATGGTGATCATTCCTTCGGACATGAATTTTAATTAAAGCGTAAGAGTGAAGTAAATGTAAACATTTGAGAAGTTCAAAACTAATTTTCAGGCCATTCAAGCGTAACTCTTGACAAATTGAAAATAGAACATCACGAGCGCTCCGATAATTGCCTGCAAAAAAATTAGAATGAAAAAACTAAAAACGAAATACAACTCACATCACTTAATTTTTTTAATTAAGCATAAAAACATGAACATTAAAGATATGAAGAGGTTTTTACCTCCCAGACACTTCCTCCTTACACTGATTTTACCAAACCCTTCAAAGTCTCTTTTGTCAACAAAAAAAAGTTTTATTGATGCTCAATCTTCTTATTCTTCGTGAGTCTCGGCTCTTGTAGGTACAAGAGACTTTTCATTTTAAGGAACTGAAGAAAACGTGCATCTTTCACCCAAGAAGGCATTGAGATAGGGTTTTTGGGCTGGTAGCTTTGCTAGATGATCGTTCGAACTTGACCTGATGCATTTTTGATTCTTAGACCTAAGAATCGTGTAACTGTTTGATATGTGATTATGAAAGGATAAGCCAGATGGTACATCAAAATCAAATGTAAGTTTGAAATGTTACTCTCCCTAGGCGACTTGGCGACCATCAATGCCACTTGGTAAAAAAGAACATATTTGCCAGAATTTGGGTTGATTTCATTCATTACTAATGGTATCGAAGGTCCACTTTATGATGAAGTTGTCATTTTTAGGTTTAGACTTCCTTCGATTTTGAACGAAAAACCTTATCTTACGCTGAAATCATGCGTTTACATGAAAAATGCTAGATACTTAAAGTTAGGGTAGGCGAAATTTTGTTTATGAAAAACATTATTTTAAACGACAAAAATCAAATAAAACTGAAAGAACTCATCTCAGTATTTTTTTTTTCCCTCGGAATTTCTGAGGCCTTGCAATGTACCGGTATAAATGACTTATTTCTTACCAAAATGAGTCGGAAAAGGTTATGATTGAACTGTAGAAAAGTGCTGAGGACACAGACGTCATTGGAACCTCCACAGTTTCAAAAAAAGGTCCCATTTTTTGCATTCTTCAAAAAATTATACTGCTCCCTTACAGCCATCGGTTAGCTAACTTGACATGAGCCTGACTTGGTGCGGAAAGGTTACCTCATGAATGGCTTTAAGGAAGGGGAGAGGGGTCTAAAAGTCGATCAAAATAGATCACACAATATATGAATGGACCTTAAGGTATTAACAGATGTGCAAGTGAATTCACTTTATAGGTTAGAATACCTGTAAAGGAAATGTATTGACATGTCGAAACATGGAGCTCTTGGGGCCCAAAGAGGCAACCAAACTTTGAACACAAACTAGGTATCCAGAATGATTTATAATTTATTTTATTTATTTATTTCACAATTTTCGGGCTAAAAACCCAAACAAACAAAAGATACATCAAGAATTCAACAAGATGGCAAATATATAACGAAGAATACAATAAAAAAAAACATAGTTTGAACATAACTCAACAGACCATCAAGAGCAATGATTATTACAATTGTCACGATTCGTCATTTATAAAGCATGTATTTCACATGGTTTTTGCACTAATTTTCTCACTTTGCAAGAAGGACGCTCATTCATCAACATTCTTGGCCGTCTTTTTTCGATATTGGAACCTAAAGACTGGTAGCGGCAGTTTGATAATATTTTTCATAAAGGAAATGTGGCTGCGCTTTAGGGCCCTAAGAGCTCTATGTTTTGATGTGTCCGTACACTCCTTTTATAGGTACTCTAATCTTAAGTGAGTTGACGGGCACAACTGTTAATACGTAAAGATCCATTCATGTATTGCAGAAGCTACCTATTCTGTTTAACTTTTAGACCCCTCTTTCCTTCCTTAAAGCCATCTGTGAGCGAACCTTTCGGCATCCTTTTAAATTACATGAGCCTAACTTGACACCCCCCTCCCTTTCCCAATTAATTATCCCCAAAATAACGCAGAAAACCTGGGAAATTGCTGAAATAAAAAATGTTTAATGGAAAATATTATTATGTCTAGAAGTGGAGGGTTCATATAAACCTGGGCCCGACCCCCACCTCTTTCCCCATGTGACCTCTTCAGGCAATCTCAGACCCCGCTCCCCAAAAGGGCTTATACAATACTTGGACGATTTAATATTAGTGTCCTGCTTTTAGAGCCGGATACCTTTTTGAGGAATGTGCAAAACTGAGACCTTCTTGTGAAACTGTGGAGGTTCTGATGACATTTGTATCCTTAGCACTTGTCAACAGTTCATTTACACCCTTTTCCGATTTTATTTTGGTAAAAACTGAGTCATTTATACCGTAATTCTTATAATCATTTATAATTCTGAGTATAAGAAATAAAAAAATAAATAAATGAATAAATATTGGGGCGTGTTTTTCAGTTAATTTGATTTCTTTATGTTCACAATAATGTTTTTCTTAGAAAAAATTTCACGCTTTACAACTTAAGTTATTTGACGTTTTTCGCATAAAAATTTATCGAACACATCATTTCAGAATAATATCAGGTTATTTGTACAAAATCGAAGGAAGTCTTAAACTTAAAATCACAATTTCACCATACAATTGACCTTGGGCACCATTACTCTATGTAAAGCTGCTGTTAACACTCACTCTGGCCCCCCTCCCCCCACCTAGAGAAAAATTGGCCGAAGCGATTTCCTTTCAACTTGGTACATCGTGGTTGTCGTGAGGAGTTGATCGAAATTATTCCGATTCCAATCCGCTACCTAGGACGCCCGCAACAGCGAAAAGCTGTTTCTCTCTATAGTAAAGCATTGGGGATACGCGGTTGTTTACGCGCACCTCGCCGAACAGGTTCAATCCCGTCGCGTGACGTCACAGCCTTATAGACGTAATTTAAGGTTTCGGGAGTTATTTTTCGACGAATTTTTGTGAAACTAAGAGTCAGGGGGTATTTTTCAACAGGGAACTCGAATTTTTGGTCGGATTTTTAAAATTTCAAAATCCAAGATGGCGGCCGTGGCCTAAAATGCTAAGTCGACTCCTGTTCGATTGATTTTCATGATCATTTTTGTGGTACTAAGAGTTAGGGGGTATTTTTCGACGGGGAACTTGAATTTTTGGTCAGATTTTCAACATTTCAAAATCCAAGATGGCGGTCCCGCACCAAAATGCGGTCCCGGCTCCTGGAACATCAATTTCTGTAAAACTTGGTGAAAAAGCAGATTAAGACAAAGATGTCTTCTCATCAATGTTAAAAACTATGCATGGCGATGGCCGCCCAGTCATATCAGTTTTTATTTGGCTTCGGAAGTTACAATCGAAAATATGAGCGCGGATCGCTAAAAGACAAGCGCTCTCACAGGCTGATTGACGGTTGAGGTTGTGTGCATCAGGCTGCGTCGGGTCGTAGCCGCTGCTGCACTACTTATCAGCTTGCTGCTATGCTCATCTGTTATGTGGGATAATGATTGCAATGGCCATATTCCACTTTTTTCTGTAGACTAATTTTTTTTCTTTTAATTTGTTAAAGAATTGTATGAAGTCGTGACGGAAACAGTGTCTGAGATCGAGTCTGAAATCGAAAATTTAAGTTCAGCTGAAGTGGACAATTTGTCTGTGTCTCATGACCTGCACAACACCATGTTTGATGGAAGAATGTGTAATATTTCAAGTGGCAATAAGCCACCTCTGACTTGTTTTTTGTGTGGCGATAGACCCATTCAAATGAATAATATTTCAGGAGTGCAGAAGAGCCCTTTGTGAAATTTGGAGTCTTTAAAGTATAGAATTTCTCCCTTACATCATCAGATCAGGACTTTTGAGTGCCTGTTACACATCGCGTACAAACAAGACTTCAAAAAGTGGCGTGCAAAAATAGGAGAGGAAAAGTTTTTGAAAAAAAAAACCCCCCGAACAAAATGGTTCCAAAACAAAAAGGGTCAGTTAGGATGGAGAGTGGACATATTGAAGTGAACTTGTTCCCCTGGTTGAACTTACCTGTGGTTTTCGCGAGAGGGGAGAAGATGGGGGGGGGGATTTCTGAATAAAGAAGTATCCCAATTTCAGGATTAATACATTTTTTCAATGAAAAAAGCCAAATGACACGCTCCCTAAATCTCCACCATAATCACGCTAGTCTATTTATCAAATGGATTAAAACAGAGATTTGGCAGCCACTTTTTTTTGCAGAATCTTTGCTATGAACCAAAGATTGAACATAAAATTGAATTTCTTGTCCCAAAACGACTTTGAGTGCCAATTTTGGAGAAGATTCGGCGATATTATACAGGGTGATCCAAAAGTCCCTTCCACCCCCTCTAACTTTTTACCTAATTGAGGTAAAGATTTGAAACTTGGGGGATGTCCCTAGGTCAAAGGGAGCTACTTTTTGGCCTCCCTAAAATTTTCAGGGGGGCCCTCCTTGAGAGGGCAATGGACCCCAACTTTCAATTTTCAAATGGGAAGACCCCTTTTGTGATAGCTCGTTCGAAAGAGCATAAAAAAAGAAAACTTTTCGCGCAAACCCGAAGTCAATATCTCAAACCGTTCCAAAATGGCGGCCGGTTAAAGTTCAAAATGGCTAAAAATTCACACCGGTTATTTGTCGATGGATTTGCGGGAAAATCGGTATTAAGCCTTATTAAGGGGTATTTTGACACGAGAAAAACGAATTTGACGTTAGATTTTCAAAAAACCGAAATTTCCAAAATGGCCGCCGGTTAAAGTTCAAAATGGCCAAAAATTGATTATTTTGGAAATCTAAGTTCAAATGTGTTTATCTAATGCCAAAATACTCTCAAATTCCAAGTTTTAGGCAAATCTATCAGGAAAAAACCGAGGTGACAATTTTCGGTCATTTTGAACTTTAACCGGCGGCCATTTTGGAAATTTCGGTTTTTTGAAAATCTAACGTTCAATTCGTTTTTCTCGTGTCAAAATACCCCTACATACCGATTTTTGCGCAAATCCATCGACAAATAACCGGTGTGAATTTTCGGCCATTTTGAACTTTAACCGGCCGCCATTTTGGAACGGTTTGAGATATTGACTTCGGGTTTGCGCGAAAAGTTTTCTTTCTTTATGGTCTTTCGAACGAGCTATCACAAAGGGGGTCTTCCCATTTGAAGATTAAAAGTTGGGGTCCATTGCCCCCCCCAAGGGGGGCCCCCCTGAAAATTTTAGGGGGGTAAAAAAGTAGCTCCCTTTGACCTAGGAACATCCCCCAAGTTTCAAATCTTTACCTCTATTAGGTAAAAAGTTAGAGGGGGTGGAAGGGACTTTTGGATCACCCTGTATGGTCCGATAAGCGAATGTCCCGTTTTGACATCTTTTCGTCCCAGTGTGTAGTGCCTAACAGCTTAACACAATGTTGGTGCTAGTATACCATTATGTATGATTTGCACCTTTCGACGTTGAGATAAAGATACATACTTGACATGAGAAAAAATTACCATTTACACGCTCATTATCAGCAATGATGATAGCTGTTTCGGTGGCTTCCTTAAACTGAGATCTTGCAAGATAAAGTCGGTATATATTCCTTGGGTCCTGGAATGAAGAGACCAAATTGAATTAAGAGAAATGCACACGTTAAAAGTGAAAATTGTTGTGGTTGAGAAAAAGAAGGGTGCGTAAGGAGTGTCAGTCTCCACCTAATATAGTGAAGATGAAAAATGCAAAATCTTCACCAACAATTAATAATTAAACCTTTAAGGACGAATTCTTAAGCCGACGTTGATTCGAGAATTTACAATAAGTCTAGGGGCCATGAAGTCACTTTCACGTGCCACCCTGAAACTTTCAGTGTATCTTTTCGAGTCCCTGGGACATCTTTTTCCAGCAATCAAAATGCCCGTATCCCATGGCAACATATTCAAAATGGCCGCCATGTCCAAAATCGTAGGTCCGGAGGTACTCTCGGATATCAACGATTTACTCGAAGATTTACACAGATACACAAAATTGTCAAAGGATCAAAAGTGCTCTGCACTAACAATACATTGAGTTTGGACCTCTGAGCCCCTTATTTTGAGAAAAAAATTACATTTTTCCCATTTCGGAAATCCAAAAGGTTCGAAAAATTTACAAGAGCATTGCCATGACCCCAATGCAATGTTACACCTTAAACAGTTATTTCAGCCACCATATTAGATTTAGCTCTTACCCTAATGTTGAGAATAATTTCTGACAATACATTCGGATTTTACGACTAGAAATGCATAAGAATCAACACCTTCATAGCATATTTCCGGCAGAAATTTGTTTTACTCTGAAAGGGTGATTTGGGCCGCCGCATTGGATTTAAACCTTACCCTGATGCTTAGGATCATTTCAACCTTCAGATTCAACTTCAACGACCGAAAATACTTAAGTGGTCTGTCCGGAAAGTATCAGGACTTTTTAGATTTTGAGAAATCGAGCTTCCTTATGACATTGTGGCTTTAATCTCCTTCGAAGTACTCTCCGTAAGACACAATGTACTTGTTCCAGCGATTTTTGAGCTTTTCAAAACAGTCCAAAAAGCTCTCCTTTGGGATATCCTTCAGCGCTCTCGTCGTACTCTCTTTGATGTCATTGATGGAGTCAAATCGAGTCCCTTCCATCGGAGATATCAGCTTTGGGAACAGCCAGAAGTAGCAAGGAGCTGAGTCTGGACTGTATGGAGGATGTGGAACCAGAGAAATACCGTGCTTTGACAGAAACTGTTGCACAAGACAGGAGGAATGAGCCGGAGCGTTGGCACAAATTTCGCTGCCACTCTACGGAGCCCGAGTTTTTCAGTTGAAATTTCCGTAACGATGGTCTTCGGGATATTTAGCTGCTCTTCCAGTTCCCGCACGGTTAACCGACTGTCTTGGGCAATAGCTTCCCGAACTTTTTCCACGTTATCGGGAGAATTCGTCGACGAAGGTCTCCCGGACCGCGGATCACTAGCGACTGTTTCACGACCCGATTTAAAACGATTATACCACTCATAAATATTGCTTTTGCTCATAAAATCAGTGCCGAAAGCTTTCCGAATCATTTCCATGGTCTCCTTGGCAGTATTTTCCAGATTAAAGCAAAATTTAATACAAATTCTATGATCTTTACGCTCGGTCATTTCACGAAAAAAAAAAAACCGCGATGATAGCACTTGACACACACACTTTGATCAGTTGATTGCAATCGACTGATTAAAGGTGTGAAAGCCCAATTGTGTGGCTGCATTGGTGAGGACATGGGCAAAGCCCATCCCAGGTTTCAGCTCAATATCTGGATTACATTCCGAGATAATCAAAAAGTCCTGATCCTTTCCGGACAGACCACGTAAAAGTCCACACCTAACATGGCATATCTGTAACAGAGATTTCTGAGGATACCCTGAAAGTTTCAGGTTGGCACGTGAGTGTGACTTAGTGGCTCCTAGACTATATTTTACAGTTTGAAAAATAGAAGCACTCTGATGAAAATCTGTTGAAGAGAAATATTATCACATATCAAAATGAGACACTCTATGAATAAAACCTAGGAGAGGCTCTGATAAGTTTTAGCATTGATGATGAGCAATGGGCTTTGCAGATTTTCATGTCTTCTGTAAGTCTCTTAGAAGTTTTATTAATACATCTTACAACGTTTCACAATGGCATTTAACTCGCCTCTTCCATTTTGAGGAAGGACTTGTCTGGTATTTCTTAGTTTGGCAATGAAGACTTGATGCTTCGACCAGTATGCTTCAAGGGTAACTCTTCATGCCTTTGGAGGAGATGACAACCAATCCTCTTAGGATTTTGAGTAAGAGAGAATATTATGCATAGAGATCCTCTTAAGCAGTGAGGGCTGTGCATTGAGGATTTAGAATTACTGCTGTCTATGCTACTCTTGTGGTAGTAGGAGTGGTGGTGGTGGTAGTAGTAGTAATGGTAGAAGTAGAGATGGTAGTATTAGTGAAGGTGGTAATAGTAGTGGAGATGGTGTTAGTAGTGGAGGTGGTAGTAGTATAGTGGTAGTGATGGTCGTAGTAGTAGTAATAGTAATGGTAGTGATAGTAGTAATATTGGTGGTATTGGCAGTAGTAGTAATAGTAGTGGTAGTGATAGTAGTGGTGATAGTAGTGGCAATGATAGTGGTGGTGATAGTAGTAGTGGTAATAGTAGTAGCAGTGGCAGTAGCAGTGGTAGTGGTACAGGTGGTGGTAGTGATCAACTACGTCTACCTTACACTTGAAAACTGCTGAAAATAAACTATAGAATTAGTTTGCGAGATTGGTTGTTTTTGTAGGTCTCTTTTTGGGCGATCCTGAATGCGGATCATTGTAGAAATGGTACTTGCAGACGTGCTAAATTTGAAAAAGAACAATACAAACTGGGCGAATAGTGCTTTAAGGAGTGGGTATTGAGCATTTCTGGTGTGCTTGACGTGATTTTTGTGCGATTTTCCAAATGAAGAGTGTCCTCTGTTGAACGTACCTCTTGTTTGCATTAGACCAACTGGGTATTTTCTAGGCATTTTGCAAGCTGATTATAAATTGCTAACTGTAGCAAGCTAATAATTGAAAATTAGGTGTGACACATACAAAACGTTACTAACGAATGTTTTGAATTCATACCCTTGGAATCCCATCAAGATGTCCGAGGAGTAAGTTAATTAACTGATTGGACATAGCATTACTGTCAGTTCTGCTCACTACCTCAATTGCATAGGATAATGATTCAGGATTTTTTGAATCATTTTTTGCAGCTTGAATGAGCAACTTAAATGCCTGTAAACAAGAAATGGAAAAATATTTATTGATTGCCAATCCTGCTTGAAGAAATCTCGTATTGAAGATATTTTTGACGCATTTTCCACTTATGTAAGGATACAAAAAGTAAGACAAAGCTCGAATAACATCTTTGAATTTTTGGTGCAAAAATGGCTAAAAGCGCCAGACATTATTTCATCATTTAGTTGAGACTGTAATTTACTTGTAAGGTAATCACACAAAATCTTCAAGCCAACGTTATCAAATCAAAAGATTCGGTCTTTAATAATTTCATCAACTGCAGAAACTTCATGGACAGTGGCGTAGTAATTTTTGCCATTTCCATTCTGAAATAATATCTTTAATTCTTCAGATTAAACTATGCGGATACCAGAGGAGCCTGCATCCCTACACCCCCCCCCCCCCCCCGGAAATCTACTCCATGTAAAAAAGTAAGTAAGTTTAAAAAAGTAAGTGCGTGACACTTCTTCCACCTTTGATATTGTATTTTCATCTATTTTTTGCTATGAGACCGTTCATAAAATGTGCACTGCTAGGTTCGGATTCTTCAGCCCTCCTCCCTCTGTGGCGCTTTTGTGACAGAGGCCCCTGCCCATTGACAAAAAGAGACAAAATGACATAACTCTCGCCTTGACCCTCCCTCCTCCCTGACCTTAGAGCATTACATAAATTATGAGCAGCCCCTAAGAGCAGCTTAAAACTGCTTCTTGAACGAGTCAATTTTTCAAAATTTTCCCAAAGAGACTTTCGGAACCTTCTTTGGGGCTTAGGGTATCCAGAAAGTGCCCCTGTGCCTTCCTTTAAAATTGAGAAAGCCCGGGGACCCCACGGCTCCGTTGAAGGAAAGTTATATGAAAAGTGAATGTACATCTCCGATCTCTTCGGCATCTTCAAGTAGGGTAAAAATACTATGTTTTTAGCCAAAAATCGAAATGTGTTGCTCGAGCTCCTCGAAAAATATATCGACTTTTCGGTTTCTTTCTCAAAAAAATCACAAAATCGAAGAGATTTCAATTATTTAAAGGGACAAATCTTATTGCAAACTAAAATCCAAATATACCGTTAAGAAGCTCTTGCTTTCAGCTTTTTAACGGTCTATAGATTTTGTAATTTGGAGCAACTGGCCGTCTATAAAGGGAATTATACTGCAATCATTTTAAGGAATTTTCCGCCAACTCGGACGGCCGGTTCCCTTGAATGTACCTCTTCTATTTTTGAAATTAAGAAATAAAATATGTACACCGTTAGTAAGACCACACTCTCAGCTTTCTATCGGTATAATAATTTTTGAATTTTGAGTAACTTAACGCCGGCACATAGGAATTTTTCGAAACCATGTCCAAAAACGCGGAAATCCGGGTGGCTCCAGTCAAAGTCAGTTTCTCGCCGCCCAAATGCACCAAAATCAAAAACCAACATGTCGTTAGAAAGCTGAAATTGTCAGCTTTCGCATGGTAACTTGGTTTTTTGTAGTGTTAAAAAATCTTGATTAAAAATACGAATCTTTGTCGGAGATGAAACCTTTGTAATTTAGCAACTCTTTTTTGTGGGGAGGCATCTCTTAATTTTACCCCGTCATTTTTGGGGAGAGTTTGGTCACTCTGAACCTACCCTGAGAGACCTGTGTCTCAAATTACACGTTATGAATCACACCTGTCTCACAATCAGTGAAAATTCATGGTTGCCAAATTTGGCCATATATCATAGCTGTTCCAAAGAGCCTCGCCAAAAAGGGGTGTTTTCTAGCCCCTTTTTGGATAACCACGTTGGTCAACCAGACAAGGCTCAAATGAAAGCTTGTGGTAAGGCAAACTTCCGGGTAAAGTTTTGACTTGAAGTGACACTTCGTTTCGGCTGTACAGCGTTTCCAATTTTTCATTTTTATATGCTAAAATCAAGGAATTCTGGACTA